GTGCTTCGAGCTTCTTGGCCTCGTCAGGAAACACAGGCTCCAGAAGCTTCGACTTGCACCAGGTACTAGCTGGACAGATGCGACCACGCCTGGACCTGCCGCCTCTGTCGATCTTACCTCTCTTTCCATCAACCCCTGTTCGGTTTACTTCCTCTTTTCTGTTTTTTTGCTTTACATATAGTCTGTCTATATGTATACTTGTAAATACACACGTAGTCGCTCTCTCTCTCTCTCTCTTTCTCTCTTCCCTCTCTCTCTCTCTCTTTCTCCCCCTCTCTTTATTTCCCTCCGTCTTTGTTGTTTTCTCTCTCTCTCTCTTTCTCTCTTTCTCTCTTTCTCTCTCTCTCTCTCTCTCTCTTTCTCTCTCTCTCTCTCTCGCTTTATGTCCCCTCTCTCGGTCATCACCCTCTCTCCCTCCTCAAAGGTCACACCAGGTCCCCGTGTACGTTTTCCCATTTCTCAGACCCACCTCTTCACACTTATGTCCTCCCCTCTTTCGCAACCTCCTCTTGTCAACCCTCTCCCATCGGCCTTTGACTTGGTGACGAGGGCGGTGCCCGTCGCCTCAGGCTGACCACCGTCTCACAGAGATTTGGCTCGCCTTCATGCCGTTTGTCAGTTTGTTTTCTCTTCCTCCTCCCCCTCGATCGGGACGGAGGGAGCGTAGACATCCTCTGCCCTTCCCCGCCTCCCAGGACGTGCGTTGCTCCCCCTCCTCCTCGTCCTCCTCTTCATCCCTTTTCCCTCTTCGGGCTGAGGACTTCGCCTCGCACGAGAAGGGCAACTGGAAGCACGAGGTGGCGGGGCTGCTGGGCCCCCCCCCTGGAGGAGGAGGCGGAGGAGCAGGGGCCCAGATTTCGGGCGGTCGACTTGTCTCATTCCCGGCACCTTTTTTTAAATAGCAGTCGGACTCTGGGAGCACCAGCCCAAATATGTTGCCCATGGAGGGCCAGGTTTAAGTCGGGCCTGTCCCTCTACAGGGGGAATATTCAAAAGTAGTAAAAACATAGTCTGGGGACTTTTTTATTATTATTAGTTGTTTTGTGACCATATTGGAATATGTTGTTGAGTGTCTTATATTTTTAGTAGAAAATCCCCCCGTAGGGGGACGCGCCCGACTTAAAGCCAGGTCTGCGGATTGGAACTACAGTGGGGGCCCATGCCAAGGAGCACCCTGCTTGCCTCCAGGGTGCCCTGGGTTTCCTGGGTTTCGATGCTTTTGCTATGGAGAGCGTGAGCTTCCGACACCAGAGCTCAAGGGGCGTCTTGGGGTCTCAGGCTTGGGTTTCTCGTAGAAGGTATCTTGTGGACTGGCCTCCACTGCATTATGGTCAGACTCTGGGAGCACCAGCCCAAATCTGTTGCCCATGGCGAGAGCCGGGGCCGCGGATTGGAACTGGTGCCTGGCGGAGGTCCGAGGCCCGTGCAGCTGCGTGCAGCGCACGGCGTGGCCCTCTCCTCGCACCGGTGCGCGCCGCGGAGGGGATGGAGCTCTTGCGATCCCAACTTCTCGGCGGGAGCTGAAGATCGAAGGAGAAAACACGGCATAAGCAAAAACTTTTGGCGCTCCGCGCGGATATTTTGAATCCGCGCCGGGGCCCCCCGGCGGCGCCTCCGGCGGCGCCTCTGGCGCGCTCCGCGCGCCAGGGGCGCCAGGGAGGGGGGTCCAGCGCGCCAGGGAGGGGGGTCCAGCGCAGCTCCAAGAAGTCCGCGCGGAGCGCCCAAAGTTTGTGCTTATGGCGTTTTCTCTTCTTCTAAGAGAGGCCAGTGACCGACGAAAAGATGGGTGTTGGAGCAAGTGTTTGTACAGTGGGGGCCCATGCTAAGAAGCACCCTGCTTGCCTGCTTGCCTCCAGGGTGCCCTGGCTGTTTTTTGGGGGTTTCGATGGTTTTGCTATGAACGGCGTGACGTTCCCACACCAAGAATCAGTGGACGCCCTGGGGTCTCAGGGTTGGGTTTCTTGTGGAAGGTTTCTTGTGGACTGGCCTCCACTGTATGCGTATGCACCACGCAGTTATACCACAAAACCTTTGCGCGTGCTTCGCTGGCCCGCGCTCCAGGAGTTGGAGGTGGAGCCCCGATAAGAAGGGGGATGCGGAGCAATCGCGCAGAGGCGCGTTGAGCTCCCTCTGAGGCACGTACCAGCCTGTCTACTGGAGTGGGAAGTGGAGATCCCCAGTGGGCACGATCTTTGCGAGGGGTGTGCCGCCATGGGCGGGGCCGCGCATGCGAACCTTTCAGCTGAGGCCGTAGGTGGTTTCTTGCATGGAGGGACGATCTGCATGAAGGTGTGCCGAAGTGGGCGTTTGGCGTGGGCCCGCATGCAAATCCGCCCGCGGGGGCCGTGGGTGGAAGTTCCTGTGGGGCACGATCCGCGTGAGGGGTAAGCCAGGTTGGGCGCGGGCCGTAGGTGTAACTCCCTGTGGGGCGCGCTCCGCGGGAGGTTTGTATATATATATATATATATGTGTGTATAGTTGTACCTATGTGTGTACGTAT